CGATCCCTTCTCTGGAAAAGTATGTCGCGCTAGCTTCCCTCCGACACAGGAGGCACACGGCAAGTCGGCGCTGGTCGACTTCTTGATGTCCAGACCGATGGCAACACCATGCCTTGCCGAACTCTGAATCGTGTCAATGCCGACGTGCGCGAGCCTCGGGTGCCACGTGTCCAGCGTCGACTTCGTCGCAGATGCGATCGTCCGCAGAGCAATTGCCGCTGTCGAAGATGTCCTCGAGTTCGAGGAGCAGGGGCGGAGGTCGGTGCAGAGGACCCGGCCGGTGTAGCGTGCTCGACCGAGCACATCTCCTGCAGCGGAAACGAGCAGCATCTCGTCACCCTCGTTCTGCAGTTGCACGCTGTTTTCCTTCAGCTGACCAGCAGACAGGAGATTTGCGTGCACGCCCGGAACATACAACACATCAGGGATCAGAATCTACTTTCCGGTCTCCCCTTTCAGAGCAATTGTGCCACGGCCTTCGACATTCTGAAGCGCCCCGTTGAATCCGCGCACGTGACGGATTTCACCTCCTGGCTTCATGTCGACGAAGGCCTCTCGCGTTCCCATCAGATGATGAGAGCAGCCGCTGTCGAGGAGCACCACGCTCGGATTCGCCTGCACGGCTGCAGCGACCGCCTGGAAGTCTTCTCCAGCCTCCGGCGCCAGCGAAATAGTTGGCTCAACCACTCCAACCATCGAACAAGAGGCTTCCTTGCCGCTCGAGGTGTCTCCCTCTGATGTCGACGGCGTTTTCGACGACGCTGGCTTCTCCTTGCGCGGCTCGTGGTCTCGACGACGACGCTGGCTGTTAGACTTCCCGCGGCTTCCTCGATGATCGTTGTCGGACTCGTCGCGATCAGGGCAGTCGTACGAGAGATGGTCAGGGTCTCCGCAGATGTAGCATCGACGTCCTCCTCGACGCGAACCACTACTACCGCGATCATTGCCCTTCGCCGACTTCCCGCGGTCGGCGCCCTCTGTTGACTTCGTGTTCGACGACTTTCCGCCACTGCCTCCTCCTCCGCCCGACTTCCCACGCTGCCCCGTCTGACGTCCCTGCTTCGTCGGATCAACGTAGTTGGCATGCGGAAGGAGCTCTGAAGACCGCTCAGACTCCTGCATGAACTCATCCTGGATGATGTGACTCAAAAGCGAATCCTCGTTCAGAGTCTCGCGCGCGCCGGGCATGATCAGCATCCGTCGCATCAGATTGTAGCTCGAGGGGAGGCCATTGATGACATGCGTGACATATGACACCACCGAGTACTCAAAGCCAGCCATCTGCATGTCGGCCAAAATTCGTCGCGCTCGATTGCAGTACTCGGTAGCCGATTCCTGCTCGCCCATACGAATGGTGGCCAATTTCTTCTCCAGTTGGCTGATGTAGAGGTCGTCGGTCGCTTTGTAGGTGCGCATGATGTACTGCCACGCTTGGTAGCCGGCGTCCACACGAAGTCGGCATGGCTTTAACGCGACTTGCACCAGTGGCGAACAGCACCGTGAAAGGACCATGAAAGTCAGAAGGTGAGCAGCGCGAAATTCCGCCAACAATTCAGAGTCGTCTTCATCCGGCATCTCCACCTTGCCGTCAACGAACTTCTTCAATCCGGCAATCTCTAGCTGGGGTTCGATTGACTCAATCCATGTGATCAAGTCATGTCGTCCTTCAAGCGGCTTCGGCACAGCGATCTTGTCCGGCGAAAATTTGAAGTAGCCGTACGCCGGAGCGATGCCTCCGTCTCGACCAGCCAACGCATGAGTCGCTAAAGTCGGCCTGGCTCCACTCCGCTGAGGAGATTGACATCGACCATCGATGTTGCCGTTCGAGCTGCCTGCAGCCGCCGTCGACCGCAGCGCTTGCGCTTGCACTCCGCCAACGCCGACGTCAGCGACCCGAATCACTCCACGAACCCTCGTGCTTCCTTCGCCGACAACATTGCCGCCGTCACCTTCGTTGTGCACGGGTCGGGGAGAGGCGGACGCGCCGTCCGCTTCAGCACGGGGAGGGGCATGCTCACGCACCCACTGCGCACGAGTTCCGAGGAGCAAAATCTCCAAGTCCGCCTCGCCGTACCCGCCAGCCTCGTGGCGTGCCCGAACAGCATCCAACCGCGCCTGCAGAGTATCATCTACTCCTGCATCGACTCCTTGGTCGTCCATGGCGGTCTAGGTGGTTGCCGGCCTACAACGACTTAGGTATAGAGCGAAATGTTGTCTAATCTGAAGGTTCTAACGCGGGGTCGTTCCACGCTCACCGCACCATGCGGAGAATTCTATTCTAAGGGAGAGCTGAATTGCGTGTGATGCACGGTCAGAGTTTTGGCAGTGATTCTGGACAGATTGTTAGCATGACTTAGTAGAATTCGAGCATAGTTTCACTTAGGAAAATCTGATAGAACAAGATTATGGTACAAGGAAGGAGATCCCCAAATAGCAAGCACAATGAACCATGGAGAAACGTTCCTCGACAATCATACACCTTTGCGGAGTCAGCAACAGCAGGTGAAACGACAAGCACTTGTGTCTTTCTCCTGGATTGGCAATTTCTCAGGTTTACAACTGTCAGAGTTGTTTATGTTTTTACTGTTAGTAAAAACGTGCTTCAGGTTCAATTTCTTACTGATTCGAAATCTCCTGGGGAGTACAATTTCCGAAATGCTCTGATTGGTCGAAATTTGCTGTTTCGCGATTGGTCGAAATTCGCGCACTTTGCGAATTTCGGAGACAAGTAATTTTGTCGACCAGAAACGCTCTGCTCGACGGTGCCTGTTTCGAGCTTAATTCTGTCGACCAGCGTTTCGTCGAAACGCTGTTTTCTACCATTTCGTCGACCCGCAAGGCTCGATTTTGACGCCGTTTTGTTCCCCTCGATAAGTGCCTCGTCGAGGGGCAGTTGCGTAGAGCAGAAACAACACTTCAATTTCGACGAATTAATCTCGTCGAAAATCGACCCGTCGTTCAGAGATAAAAGTCCCTGAAGTCGCCGATGACCACGAAACGAACACCGTCGTGCTCCGAAAAGCATGGCCGACTTCGCCCAAGCAAGGGCGGGGCCTTTTCTCCTCGACACTACCGGACCCCGAGAAGGACTACGTGGTTGAAGCAGATGCGAATGACCAGGCAGTCGGAGCAGTACTAATGCAGGATCACGGGAACGGGTTACAGCCTATCGCCTACCTCAGTAAGAAGCTACACGGAGCAGAACTAAACTACCCCATTCACGACAAGGAAGCCCTAGCGATAGTCGTAGCCTTCAAAGCGTGGAGGTGTTACCTAGAGGGAGCCAAGACTACAGTCTATACTGACCACTGCAGTCTCAAATACCTGAAATCGCAGCCGTCGCTCTCACGACGACAGGTGCGGTGGGTGGACTTCCTGGAAACTCACTTCCACTACGACATTGTCTACAAGCCCGGGCTACACAACAAAGCAGACGCATTGAGCCGCCCCGGACATGTAGCAGGCATCCAGCTCAACGGGATGAACCCTCTGCTCAAGGGTCTATTCCAACATGGGTACTCCGTGGACGCAGAGATTGCTATAGCACAGACCAAGAAGCTGTTATAGTGGGAGAAAGACTTAGCTGTAAGGAAGGGCACAGGAAAGATTTGGGTACCGAATTACGCCCCGCTACGGCAGATCCTATTGGAGGAGTTTCACAACGTACCTTACGCGGGACATTTCGGGAACAACAAGACGTTAGCAGGGATAGCGAAGTATTACTACTGGCCCGGGATGGCAACAGACGTGCAGCATTTCGACACCTCTTGCGACACGTGCCAGCGGATGAAGAGCAGCAAACAGAAGAAAGCAGGGTTACTTCAGCCTCTACCCGTACCGGAGCAGCCATGGCAGGTCGTTAGTCTCGACTTCATCACAGGACTTCCCTCGACCTCACGGGGACATGATTCCATCCTCGTAGTCATCGACGAGTTCTCCAAAATGGGTCACTTTATACCGACCAACGCCACAGCTACTGCTGATGTCAGATTTATATGACATAGCTACTGTAGGCTATAGTGGGGTAGCACATATGGGGTACAGTTTTCTAGGGTTTGCATTTGTACCCAACTTTCCCTTAGTCATTTCATTCTCGTTCACTTTTCACATGGTATCGAGCAGGTTCCCTAGTGGGAACTATTCCTAGGGCCCACCGACCTTTTTTTTCCTGCCCGGGGCGCGTCCCGCCCCTGCCCGAAGCGCGCTTAGGGTCGCGCCTTCCCTAGCGGCCCCGTCGAGTCGCCCTTAGCGGCCCGTCGCGCCGCCCTTAGCGGTCCCGTCGCGCCGCCCTTCGCGGCCGCGTCGCGCCGCCCTTTCGCGGCCCCGTCGCGCCGCCCCTTTCGCGGCCCCGTTGTACCGCCCTCAGCGGCCCGTCGCCGCCCTCCCCCTGTTGCCCGTCGCCGCCCTTTCACCTGCGGCCCCGTCGCCGCCCTTACGGCGGCCCCGTCGCTGCCCTTGCAGCGGCCCCGTCGCCGCCCTTACAGCGGCCCTGTCGCCGCCCCTGACGCGGCCCCGTCGCCGCCCTCACAGCGGCCCCGACGCCGCCCTTCCAGCGGCCCCGCCGCCTCTTTCAGCGGCCCCGTCGCCGCCCTCCCCTTACGGCCCGTCGCCGCCCTTACAGCGGCCCCGTCGCCGCCCTTTCAGCGGCCCCGCTGCCTAATTCAGCGGCCCCGCCGCCCTTCGCGGCCCCGCCTTCCTTAGCGGCACAGCCGCCCAGCAGCCGAGCCGCCGAGCAGCCGAGCCGCCGAGCCGCCGAGCCGCCCAGCAGCCGAGCCGCCGAGCCGCCCAGCAGCCGAGCCGCCGAGCCGCCGAGCCGCCCAGCAGCCGAACAGCCGAGCCGCCCAGCAGCCGCGTCGCCGAGCCGCCCGAGCCGCCCGAGCCGCCGAGTTGCCGAGCCGCCGAGCCGCCAAGCCGCCCGAGCCGCCCTGTCCGGTAAGAGCAGCGCCTCTGTCACTGCACTGCCCTTAACCTACTGTTCGCGCTACTAGTCTACTGCTGTCATGGCTACCCCTAGTGTCCTCGCTTTTGACGCTGAGGGTCGGGCCATTGACTTTGACGTCTGGGTAGATGACCTGCAGCTTTTCCTACAGTACGATAGGGCAGACGGTCTCTCCCTCTTTGACCTCACCTCTGGTGCCTCTTCTGCCCCTGCTGCTGATGCCGACGCCACTGTTCGCTCACAGTGGGCCACACGCGATGCTGCTGCACGTCTTGCCGTGCGTCGCCACCTGCCTACCTCTGAGCGTGCGCACAGTACAAGAGTGCTCAGACCTTGTACGATGCTGTAGTTGCACGCTACTCCTCCCCTGCCACTGCTGCACTGAGCCGCCTCATGCTACCGTACCTCTTCCCTGACCTTGCTGCCTTTCCCACAGTCGCTGACCTCATTACGCACCTCCGCACTAGTGACACTCGCTACCGCGCTGCGCTTCCTGCTGAGTTCTGCGCCAAGAACCCCCCCCCCATGTACATCACCCTCTACTACATAGTCACCCGGCTCCCTGACTCCCTTCGCGTAGTCAGGGACCACTTCCTCTCAGTTTGCCCCACCACTCTCACCGTTGACCTCCTCGAGAAGGCCCTCCTAGCAGCAGAGAAGAGCATAGTAGCTGTAGGAGCCTCTCGTGGTGACCCTCGCACCCCCATCTTTGAGGGGTGTTCCCCCTCCCCCCTTTTGCCCTCTTTTGCCTCTGCTGCTGCGGCCGACCTCGTTGGGCTTGAGTCGGTCGGTGCGGCGTCTACCCCTAGCGGGAGACGCCGCCCTGGCAAGGGCAAGGGGGGCAGGGGCGCTGGAGGAGCTAGCGGGGGCGGTGGAGGCGGCGGTGGAGGCGGTGGAGGGAGTGGGGGTGGCGGTGGGGGTGGTGGCGGGGGTGGAGGTGTCGGTGGCGGCAGTGGAGGCGGAGGCGGTGGCGGCGGTGGCGGTGGGAGCGGAGGTGGCGGCGGTGGAGGAGGCGGTGGCGGAGGAGGTGGAGCTGGTCGGGGTGGCGCTACGCAGAGGGTCGGCTCCGGTGGTGGTCAGCGCCAGCAGCAGCAGCAGCAGCAGCGCACTCGTGACATCCCCCCCCCTCAGCAGCTCCGTGAGTGGTACGCTGCACGCCAGCGGGGTGGGGGTACTGGTCCGTGCACCTACGTCCTACGCACCGGCGACCGCGCGGGTGAGCAGTGCGGGGGTGCGCACTCCACCCAGCGCTGCTTTGGCCGCCTGACGGACGCTTGGCGTCACCAGTTCCCGGAGGCCACTGAGATCCCCCGCTGGGGCGAGCTGTCTAGGGCGGGAGTAGCTGTCTTTGACCTTGACTTTGATGCTATTCTTGCTGCCATGTATACTGTGACTATTAGTGATGAGGGTGACTGTTACCGGTGTTTTCCGCCCGACCCGGGCATTGAGACTGCTGCTCTAGGTACTGGTGAGGCTGCTGCTCTAGGTGCTAGCGAGGCTGCTGCTCTAGGTGCTCGTGCGTCTGCTCCCTCAGGTGCTGGTGAGTCTGCTCTCTCAGGTACTGCGTCGGCTTCGGCCTCCCACACCTTCACCCTTGACTCGGGGGCTTCTCGCTCCTTCTTTCGAGACCGTACCACACTCACGCCGCTTGGCCGGCCAGTTGCAGTCTGTCTGGCAGACCCCTCTGGGGGTCCTGTCTTTGCTCACTTCTCCACTGTCCTCCCGTGTCCGGCGGCCCCCTCTGGCACCCTGTCTGGTCTTTACCTCCCCTCGTTCTCTACGAACTTGGTGAGTGGTGCTGACCTACAGGATGCGGGGGTTCACCAGTTCACTCCTGCGAGTCAGCGGGTGACCCACTGCACGGACGCTCGGACTGGCCGACACCTGGCCATGTTTACACGTCGGCCGGGGTCGAGCCTGTACACACTGACCACTGCGTCTCCTCCAGTCACTGCGTCTGGTCAGGTAGCTGCGTCGGGTCAGGTGTTTGCTGCAGCGTCCAGGTCTGGTCCTGAGTCTGCCCCCTGCTCGTGTCGCCTCCTGTCTCACGAGACTCTCCTCTGGCACCACCGCCTTGGTCACCCCTCCCTGCTTCGTCTCCGAGGCATGGCCTCCCGTGTCCTTGTCTCTGGTCTTCCCCGGTCCCTCCCTCCCCTTCCTCCGGGGCCTGGCCCTACCTGCGTCCCCTGTGTCGAGGGGCGGCAGCGGGTTGCCCCTCACTCCTCCCAGTTTCCTCCGACAGAGGCCCCGCTGCAGACGCTTCACATGGACGTGTGGGGCCCGGCCCGCGTCCGTGGACAGGGTCACGAGCGCTACTTCCTGCTGGTGGTTGACGACTACTCGCGTTACACCACAGTCTTCCCCTTGCGCAGCAAGGGTGATGTCACTGAGGTGTTGATCGACTGGATCCGCGCAGCTCGTCTCCAGCTCAGGCAGAGCTTCGGCTCGGACTTTCCTGTTCTGCGTCTGCACTCTGACAGAGGCGGAGAGTTCTCCTCTGGCCTTCTGTGAGCCTACTGTCGTGCACGAGGCATCCGCCAGACCTTCACGCTTCCGGAATCTCCACAGCAAAATGGGATTGCTGAGCGCCGCATTGGCATGGTCATGGACGTCGCCCGTACGTCCATGATGCATGCGGCTGCCCCCCATTTTCTGCGGCCGTTTGCGGTTCGGTACGCGGCGCATCAGATCAACCTTCACCCCAGGGTCTCCATGCCGGAGACCTCCCCAGCTTTGCTGTGGACGGGGAAGGTTGGCGATGCGTCTGCGTTCCGTGTCTGGGGATCTCGGGCGTTTGTCCGCGACTTGTCTGCGGACAAGCTGTCCCCTCGTGCTGCTCCTTGCGTCTTCCTTGGCTTCCCCCCTGACGCGCCAGGGTGGTAGTTCTACCACCCCACCTCTCGCCGTGTTCTGTCCTCCCAGGACGTCACGTTTGACGAGTCGGTCCCCTACTACCGCCTCTTCCCCTACCGCACTCCGTCCCTCCCCCCGCCATCGCTCTTCCTTGTGCCAGGTCCCCCCCCGGTAGACCCCCTCCCCCCTCAGGGTCCTGCCCCTTCAGGTGTGTCCCAGGTAGACGCAGTCGAGCCTGTCGAGGTTACTGGTGACTCTGGTGCTGCTGAGGGTGCTGAGCCTGGGGGTTCTGACTCTGGGGGTGCTGAGCGTGTGGGTGCTACGCCTGGGGGTGCTGAGCCTACGGGTGCTACTACTGGGGGTGCTGAGCCTGGGGGTGCTGAGCCTGGGGGTGCTACGTCTGGGGGTGCTGAGCCTGGGGGTGCTGAGCCTGGGGGTGCTACGCCTGGAGGTGCTGAGCTTGGGGGTGCGGAGCCTGAGGGAGCTGGGCCTGCTCGTGTGGCGTCTGGCGGTGCTGGGCCTGGAGGTTCTCCGGGTGCTTCGTCTCGGCGGGAGCCACTCTCTCCACAGGAGCTGCGCGAGTGGTTTGCCCGGCGCTGGAGGCGTGCTGCTGGAGCTGGAGTTTCTTCGGCTGCTGAGGGTGCTGGTGCCGCGGGTCCCGGAGGTGCTCGTACTGGGAGTACTGGAGCTGCTGGGCCTGCGGGTACGACTGGAGCTGGAGCTGCTGAGGGTGTTGGCGCTGAGGCTACTGCTGTCGGTCCTGGAGGCGGTCCTGCTGGGGGTGCTACTGGTGCTGCTGGAGGTGCTGGAGCTGGAGGTGCTACTGGCGCTGGTGCTGCCGCTGGGGGTGCTGGTGCTGTCCCTGCTGTGTCTGGCGTCGCCGCGCGGCCTCGGCCGTACTTCGTTCCGCTCCTTCAGCAGGTTCTTGGTCTCCCGCCTTCTACTGGTCCTCCTCCTCACTTAGAGTGTCCACAGCCTGTCCCGTCACAGTTCCAGCTACAGCCGGCCTCCCCACTGCCTGCTCCTTCTCCCTACACTGGTCCTACTGGAGGTCTTGCTGAGCGTCGTGAGCCTGCGTCTCGCCCTGCGTCGCCTGTCCGTGCTGCTCGCGCTAGTGGTCGTGGTTCGCGTCAGCGTCCTCCTCCTGTCCCTGGCACGCACCGGATGTCTCTGCGTCCGTCCACTGCTCCTCTGCGTGCCCCTTTGCCTTCCCCTCCTGAGTCCTCTCTTCCTGCTCTTCCCGACCCGGAGTCGGACTCTCTTCGTGCTGCCAGTCCTACTGTCACGCGTCTCCTTGCTACTGTTGTCACTGACCCTTCCTTTGAGTCCAGTGCTGCGTCTGCCCTCGTTACTGAGCTCGTCGACTTTGCTGCTCGCTGTCGTCTAGACTACGCTGCTAGTCTTGTTGCTGAGTCTGAGTCTATCTGTCCTCCGTCCGTCGGGGGTGAGTGTGCCCTTGGCACGGACGTCCTTGAGGACAGGCAGGAGGAGTTCCAGTGTTTGGCTGCTGCTTCACCTCATCTCGTGTCCGTACTGCTTACCCCTGAGGGAGACCCGGATGCACTTGACATCCCGACTCCGCGCTCTTACGCGGAGGCGATAGAGGGTCCCTACTCCTCTCAGTGGCAGGCAGCTATGGACGCAGAGATGGCTTCCTGGAAGTCCACAGGCACCTACGTTGACGAGGTTCCCCCGCCTGGGGCGAACATCGTCAGTGGCATGTGGATTTTCAGGGTGAAGCGGCCGCCGGGTTCTCCGCCTGTCTTCAAGGCGCGTTACGTGGCTCGTGGCTTCAGTCAGCGGCAGGGAGTTGACTACTTTCAGACCTTCTCTCCCACCCCGAAGATGACCACTCTTCGGGTACTGCTGCACATAGCTGCTCACCGCGACTACGAGCTGCACTCTCTTGACTTCAGCACTGCTTTCTTGCAGGGCAGCCTGCACGAGGAGATCTGGCTGCGTCGCCCACTTGGCTTCACTGGGTCTTTTCCTCCTGGCACCCAGTGGAGCCTCCGGCGGCCAGTCTACGGTCTCCGCCAGGCGCCCCGTGAGTGGCACGACACACTGAGGACTACACTTGCGGCTCTTGGGTTTGCTCCTTCTACTGCCGACCCGTCGCTGTTTCTGCGCACCGACACCTCTTTGCCGCCGTTCTACATCCTAGTGTACGTCGACGACTTGGTCTTTGCCACTGCTGACACTGCTGGACTCGCCCACGTGAAGTCCGAGCTGCAGAAGAGACACACGTGCACAGACCTGGGTGAACTGCGCAGCTACCTTGGCTTGCAGATCACCCGGGACAGAGCACGCCGCACCATTACCCTGACTCAGTCACACATGGTGCAGCAGGTCCTTCAGCGCTTCGGCTTCACGTACTCCTCGCCTCAGGCCACTCCTCTGCCTACTCGCCACTCGCTCTCAGCTCTGCCTTCGGATGAGTCCGTAGAGTCGAGTGGCCCGTACCCAGAGCTTGTTGGCTGCCTCATGTACCTGATGACCTGCACACGACCTGACCTTGCATACCCTCTTAGCATTCTCGCACGCTATGTTGCTCCTGGGAGACACAGACCGGAGCACATGGCTGCAGCGAAGAGGGTGTTGCGCTACTTGTGCAGTACGTCGGGCATGGGGCTTGTGCTTGGAGGGCAGAGTCCAGTGGTCCTCACTGGGCACGCAGACGCTTCTTGGGCTGACGACCAGGCTACGCAGCGGTCGTCACAGGGTTACACCTTCAGCCTTGGTTCCGGCTCTGTTTCGTGGCGGGCTACCCGCTCGTCTTCTGTTCTCGGCTCCAGTTGTGAGGCTGAGATTTACGCCGGGGCCATGGCTGCACAGGAGCTTCGCTGGCTCACCTACCTGCTGACTGACCTTGGAGAGCCGCCTCGTTCTCCTCCAGTGCTGTACGTAGACAACAAGGCCATGCTGGCCTTGTGTCGAGAGCAGAGACTGGAGCACAGAACGAAGCACATTGCTCTCCGCTACTTCCTTGCTCGTGAGCTACAGCAGCGTGGTCAGCTGCGACTTGCGTACGTGGCCTCTGAGGCCAACACTGCTGATATCTTCACCAAGGCACTTGCGCCTTGTGATCATCAGCGCTTCTGTACTCAGCTGGGTCTTGTGCCTACCTTGCCTCACTTGCTCACCCCTTGACCTTGTTTGTACTGTTGCATATATATATACACCTGCTCTTGCTTGTCTAGTCTTATATATATATGTAATCCTGCATGTGAACTGGCCTTGTGGCCTTGAACTTGTGCTCGGAATGTGTGGTGACTTTGTGATCCACCCTGAGCTTGCTTTGCTTTGCTTGACTGGTCTTGTAACCCCTTGTTCTCCCCCACTTTGCCTATGGGGGTGTGTCAGATTTATATGACATAGCTACTGTAGGCTATAGTGGGGTAGCACATATGGGGTACAGTTTTCTAGGGTTTGCATTTGTACCCAACTTTCCCTTAGTCATTTCATTCTCGTTCACTTTTCACAGCTGAAGCAACTGCTCGCCTCTTCTTCGACCGCATCATCACCATCCACGGCATCCCCGCTACACTCATCTCAGACAGAGACCCCAAATTCACGAGTAAGTTCTGGAAGGAGCTCATGGGATTATTGGGGACCAAACTTGCGATGTCCTCAGCATACCACCCACAGACTGACGGACAGACAGAGCGACTCAATCAGGTGGTTGAACAGTTGCTGCGCACAGCTTGCAAAGACGACATCAGCCACTGGGACACACAGTTACCGACCCTAGAGTTCGCTTACAACAACGCGTCACATGCGGCCACAGGAAAAACTCCTTTCTTCCTGTGTAACGGACGGGAACCACTCACCCCACAGCAGCCAACTACACCGGCACACGTCCAAGCCGCACATGACTTCGTCACCACCATGTAGCAGCTATGGGAGAAGACTCAGCGACGTCTCACCACGATGCAGAACTCCCAGAAGCAGTATGCCGATCGTCAGCGACGAGATCACTCAGTAGCAGTCGGAGATCAGGTGCTTCTTGACACATGCAACTTGACCCTGTCTCACCTCCCATCCAAGCTCCGGCCTTGCTTCTGTGGTCCTTTTCTCGTGGAGGCACAGGCGACACCAGTTACATTCCGCTTGCGCTTACCAGATATGTGGAAGCTTCACAATGCTTTCCATGTGCAGCTACTGAAACCCTACAAGGACCCCAACCAACAGTTCCAGGGACGGCAGCTACCGCCGCCACCACCTGTTCTCATACAGGATGAACCTGAGTATGAAGTGGAGCGCGTTCTCTCTCATCGGCGCCGCGGCGGCAAGACCCTCGAATTCCTGATCCGCTGGAAGGGATACGACCCCACTGAGGACAGTTGGGTTGCAGAAGCTGATATGGGCAACGCACGCCGTGCTCTCAAGGACTATTTTGTCAAGCAGGGTGTTTCGCACGCCACCCAGCTTTGAGGGGGGGACGTGTGAGAGTACGACGGCTTATGCCAGCTATGCTTGCTTGCCTTTACTTTGTTGTGCTATTTCTAGCATAGGATAATTATATACATGCATGAATTGCTTGATTTCCTAGGCTAGGTGCTTTCCTATATTTATTATAGTTATAGCACCGAGCTAGGTTGTGTGCACCGAATTCTGGCTTTTCGGTTGCCACCGAATTGCCTTCTACCGAATTCGGGAAGGATCTGTTCGGGGCGCTTCGCGACCCGCGGAACCTTCACGTAACACCTGGTCGTTGCTGCAAACTTGGTCTTCTCGGAAGGTTCCCCAATTTTCTCCAACGTCCCGCGGTCACACACTGAGTGAGATGCACCGCTGTCCACCAGAGCCTGGAGGCGTCGTCCTTTGCATAACACCTCGAGGATTAGTGGTTCCTGCTGTGCTGAGTAGCCAAAGAAGGTTCTATTAATAGGATCATAGGGTACATCAAAGATATTACCAACCCTATTTCCTATACCTGACTCAGCACTTTCCAACTTCACCTGGGGGGTAGGAGGATTTTTCCGAGTCTTGTACAACTTCTCATGAGCCTGGAATCTTCCTCTAAGCCTTGCAGCTGTATAGGCTTCACCTGTGGGCAACGGGGAGCCTTAACACTGGGCTGCGGGGAGAGAATATTTACTCCACAGAACGCACGACCCTTTTCTACGCTCCGTAGTACTTTGCCCAACTTCTCAGGTACCTGAATAATCTCTAAAGGCTTTTTCTTGGCCTCTAAATCTTCCCTGAATTTTTCAATGGCTTGAAAACCACGAGAAGCAATATTTTTCGTTAGAGTTTCTTTATATGATACTTTTAACAAATTCTTACTTTCGTGGGTGTTCGGCTGGAGTTTCCCGGTCGGTGCAGAGTCTTTTTTTGCGGAGCCTCCATTTGCTTCGGCGATTTCCCCTGATGCCAGCCGGTCGTGACGTTTTATATTCGCGCCATCATTTTCTCGTTTTTTCACCCGCTCCGAAGTCACCACGTCGTCACCTTTTTCTGCTTTTTGGATCTTTACGCGATCGCCAAGTCGATCCGCGGCTACTGGCGATTCCCGTTTTTTTACTTCGGGGGTGCTCCACTGTTGCCGCCCAGCAGTGCCGCAAGTGCCTTCTTCAATTTGTAGCACGAAAATTTTTGATGCCCCGCTGCGCCACAAAAATCGCATTTTGTCGGC